CTAGGTAAAGGAAAAAGTGGTAGAGAACTGAAAACTGGTAAATAGTTCCTCTATTTTCAAGATTTGGAAAAATGTACTCATATTTTAGAACCAGCTTGATGTCAACCTCCTTAATTTTTCTTTAATTTTTTTGAAAAGATTGTTACCCACAGCTTGTGAGCCTTGAGTTAAGGAGCTGTGATCACTAAGAATTAGGAAGTTTTTTTTTGAGAATGTTAGGTTAAAATTCATTTTTCTTTTCTGAAGGACTAACATGTCTGGGGAGTAGCATTTATGTAAAACACCTATATTCCATCTTTTATGATACCGCTGCAAAAAAATGTTGAAATGGGAACTGAATGAGGATGGAATTTAACAAGGTTTTTAGTCAGCTCTATATCCATATAGAACCAATATTTCCAGGGCATTTCACAGCTTGTAAAGTTCAAACCTTCCCTCTAAGCAAGGCTACTTTTCCATGGCTTCCTCTACTTTGTTAACTCCTGGTTCCATAGGTTCCTGACACCAGGCTTCTGTGTGGAGTTGGAGGTGGGGAATCTGGAAGGGGTGTTTTCCTAACTTCTATCTGCCAATGCTTATTAAGGCATCTTTCCAAACAAGAGCATTGTACTCTATACAAGGCATTCTGGTAAATAAAATTTTAGTTTTTCAACCTCATCACATGTAGATTTTTATCTGTTATCAGTGGGTGATTGTAATACTGGAGATAGAAATTTATTGTGCATTGTTGTGGGCTCTAGGCTCTAAACTTGGCCCTGTCTTGTTAGCTTCTACAACAAGAACTTGGGCAAGAGATTGGAAGGCGTGCTTGTCAAAAATTTGAATGACAAAAAACTAGGAGAGTTTGATTGGTGTAATCAATAGGCTGAAACAGTCCAAAATGAACACAATGAAACTGATAGACACAAATGCAAAATCTTTCACTTAGATTCAAAAATTTAGATGAACACGTAAGGATCAGGATATACCTGGCTATGACGGTCAACTTTATGAGTCTACTTGGCTAGGCTGCAGTTCCTAGTTATTAAATCCAACACTAATCTAGTTGTTGCTGTGAAGGTATTTTGTAGATGTGATTACAACACATAAGCAGGTAACTTTAAGTAAGGCAGATTATCCAAGATCATCTTGTTTGGCCTGACTCAATCAGTTGAAAGGCCTTAAGAATGGAACTGAGGTTTCCCTGAGGAAGAAAAATTTCCACCAGTGAACAGCAGCTTCAGCTCCTTCCCAAGAGTTCCAACCTTCCCTTCTTTACAAACTACCTGGTAGATTTCGGACTTGCTCAGCCAGCTCCCATAATCGTGTAAGCCAATACCTTAAAATAAATCCTTTAATATATATCTCCTACTGGTTCTTTTTTTCTGGTTGATCCCTGACTGATATACTGGCTCAGTACTTTCAGGTGGTAAAAGATTTCAGTTTGCTCTAAGTTTGTTATATGTCATCACTGTGAATAGGGGCCAGAAACAACTCACAGAGTCTCAGAAATGATTTGTATGAGCCACAGTCTTCAGTGAGGCACTGTGGAGTCCATGTCCATGACAGGATTGTTCTGTCCAGCTCCAGCTGCCTAAGATCTCTGTGGGGAAGTGACTTTGGTTTAACGTAAGTCGAGAACTTTATAAGAAAGAGATGTATTAAATAATGTCACGGGCTGCCCTGTATGATATAGTGAGCTTAGTCACAGTTTTTATTTAAGTAGGAGCTGATGTCATCTGCCAGGAATATCTGGTGAAAGATATGAGACTAGATGACCTCTAAAGTTCCCTAATTCTAAGATTCTATAATTCCGCTTTCAATAACTATGCTTCTATTGCATGTCACAAAAAGTCCTCATCCTCTTAGTTCATGCCACTTAATTTCCCTTATCTGGAAAACCCGATGTGCTGGTTGCCTTCTGATAGCCTTTCTAAATCTATTCCATCATGCTCTGTGCCCATATGGGCTTCTTCAAAGGGCCCTCCAGATTCTGGTTAGGTCTGGCTGAGAGGCACCAGCCAGAAGTACGAAGAGTAAGAAGACAGTGAGGTGGAAGTATTTATTACCTGGCTCCACAAGTCTGGGTTGCTGCAGGCTGGCTTTGTCCCTTGACCCAAGGTCATGGTTCTGTCAGACAGCCCTCTCCACATACCTCTTGCTTTCTTTCTCAACATTCCATCACCACAACTGCCCTGAGACCCTTCAGATCTAGGGGTGCCATGCCATTGTTGCTATGCTCCTGGAGGGTACTTTGTGGTTTCTTTACACCCCTGTCTATACTTTTAAAAATGGGCCCTTGATTAAACTTTACTCATCTGACTTGATTTAAATGTGATATTTGTTTCCTGTCAAAACCTACCTGATACTTCAAGTACATGCATGTCAACATTTTTATGTCCTATGTAGAGTCAACTCTTCAAATGAGCAGTGAGCCAGTCTTTTGGAGTAAATGTGAGAAAAGATACTTTTAAAATGTTAAGATTAAAAAAGTTTAAAAATCTCTGTCAAGGCAAGGCTCTTGTACAGATCAGGTAGAGACCAGGATCAGTAAGAGTCTTTCCTAGAGATCATCATATTAAGTGAAATAAGTGAGAAAGAGCAAGAAAAATACCATATCATATCACTTATATATGGAATCTAAAAAAAAATGATACAAATGAACTTATTTATGAAACAGAGACAGACTCACGGACATAGAAAACAAACTTGTGGTTACCAGGGGGAAAAAGGGATGGAGAGGGATAAATTGGGAAATCAGGATTTGCAGATACACATTACTATATATAAAACAGATAAACAACAAGATCCTACTGTATAGCACAGGGAACTATATTTAATATCTTATAATAGCCTATAATGAAAAAGAATATAAAAAGGAATATGTATGTATATGTAAAACTGAATCACTATGTTGTACACCAGAAATTAACACAACATTGTAAACTGACTGTACTTCAGTTGAAATAAAAAGAAGTAAGGGTTCTTTCAGCTCCAAAACTAACCTCTCTCTCCTCTGGAGTCCCTTGGTTCTCAGTTTCCATCTATTGTTCTTAGTAGTAGTGATCACTTTTGTATATTTACTTTTGTCAGAAAGAAACATTTTCTAATTTATGTAAACCTTGATGAATGGATATTATGACTTTTATAAGACAGAGCTTCTCAAATGTCCTTGAACATTTAGATAGGCAGCGATGAATGCATGTGTAGTCCCTAGAGGTCTGGGGGAGAGCAAGACATTTCTTTGAAGTCTTAGATTTGATAATTTAAAATGTGAATTTTGAAATTTACTGTATACATTACACTGTTCATTCTAAAATAAAAATGTTTTAAACTATTTATCATTATTTATTTCCCTTAAAACCTTCCAGTAAATTTGGTGCTCAGGAAACTGAGCATCTTTACCATATAGTTCAGTATTTGCAGTAAACCATTTTGAGAAGCATGAGATTAAAATTTCTTGATACTGTCAGCTTACTTTTGTGGGATGTATATGATATAGTGGCAAAGAGCTAGAGGACTTTGGCACCAGACCGTCTAAGTTCAGAGACTAGTTTCCCTAATAAATATTCATTTTATGATGCTAAGGAAATCATTTCTCTGTGTTTCAAGGTTCACATCCTACAAAGTGGAAATGGTATAACCTTACACTGAGCAAACATTAAAACAGTATGGGAGATGCTCAGCTAGAGTTACCTTATTGTTTCCTATTATTAGGCATAATATAACCAGCTTCATATAAGAGAAAGGAATCTCATTTAATGGGTGACATTTAAACCCAGAAGCTCTCTTAAACAACCTCTATCCACCTTATTTGCCAAATTAATCAATGATTTTCATGTCTTCTCTCCAACTTACTGACTGACATCCACAGCATACTGAATGCTTGTGGCTAGTGGGAGTCTCTTTAGCACAGGTGTGTATTTCTGTTCCCACCCTTTGCATAGTTACCAAAGATCAGGAGTGCTTGTTGACAAACCTATTTGTACCAATTGTACTATTATTATAATTACAGAATTTAATCAAACAGTATAAAGTTGATCAAAGCATGTGCAAAAAGAAAATGTGTTTCCATGTAAAGTAACTGAAATATTATGAAAAAAGTTGATAAAGGAGAGCCACTAAAATTTATCAAATTTATTTGTAGATAAAGAATTTATAAATGACTGGGGAGAAAGTCTGCAAATATATGGAAGGATTCTGCCCATAGTTCTTCCATATATGTTTTTAGTTCCTCATTTAAAAATCTGAGATGGGAAACCATAGATGATAGTGTTTTAGGTGGCTTATACAGAAATGCCAATCAGTAGATGAATGCTAAATAAAAGGCAGGCCATGTTTCTGTGTTAAAAAAATGGTCAAATATATGTTTCAATATATATGATTTAGATTTAAAATAACTTTAAGATATGTACATATCATTTTTACAATGCCATTAAAACTGATATTAATTTTCTTGCAAAGATTCCTTCTCTTAAATAAGATATTAAGTGATAGAAGTTTATACACATCTGTTAGAAAAGGAAAAGCTTTCATGTGTCAGACTTAAATGTTGAAAATGAGTCTTAAATTTTATAATCTGAGCACCAGTTAACTCCTGCACACAGACTCTATGGATACATTGTTTATATTTTCTAGACTCTTCTTGCATCCAGAGAAATCTACGAATCAGATATGTCTTAACTAGAGCGAAGTTTAGATGCTAGACTAGAAAAAAAAGCGCACTACATTAACTCTGATTTTCTTTAAAGTATGAGGATTTCTGTTAGAATATTTGATAAATGTTTTAGTCACATAATCATGGAGTTTTTTTTTAATCCATGAGTTCTAATTATCAACCTTTTATCATCAGTACAAATTCTAAATCAAGTCAGGGGACAGAAGCTGACAAAATTTAAGGCTTCTGTGTGTATAAATCTTTATGACAATATCCTAAGACTTTTTGGAAAGTAGCTCTAAAATTTGATTTTAGATTGCATGAAGTCATTTTTAATTTACATGTGAGAGGGAATTCTACTTACAATGATTTTTCTCTCTTTTCCAGAGATCTTTATTTTGAATTTCTTTTATTCCTAAATTATGTTGATTCTCCTTTTTTTCTAAGAGATTTTCTTTTTCATTGATTACATTAATCGAGTTTCTTCTTTCCAATATATTTGATAAAAATAGCTTGATTTCATTCACTGATACCTACAAAGAAACAGATTTTTGCTCATTTCTCATGTGTAACTTTCTAATATGAAACAAGTGACTCTAAAAAAACAGCTTTACCGACATATAATTCATATACTATAATTATAAATGCATCATTGTACATTTAAAGTGAACAATTCAATGGTTTTTAGTATAGCTGCAGGTATGTGCAACCTTTACAACAGTCAATTTGAGAACATGTTTATCACTTCAAGAAGAGATCTTGAGTCCTTTAGCCATCACCCTCCCTATTCTCCTATTTTCTCCACTCCCAGTCCCACGCAAGCACTACTCTATGGTCTGTGTCTTTACACAGTTCTTGACTCTGCATTTTCATATGAATGGAATCCTACAATGTATGCATTTTCGTGACTGACTCCTTTCGCTTAGCATAATGTCTTCAAGTTTGATCCATGTTGTAGGCCTGTACCAGCACTTCATTGCTTTATATGGCCAAATATTATTCTTCATATGGATATTCTGCATTTCACTTACCCATTTGTCTGCTGATGGACATTTGGGCTGTTTTCACCTCTTGGCTATTATGAATAATGCTGCTATAAATGCTGCTATAATCATTGATATACAAATTTCTATGTAAGTACAGGACTTTGTGATTCTCCTTATTGTAGGGCTGCCAGATTCAGCAAATAAAAATACAAATGCCCAGTTAAATTTGAACTTCGCTTAAGCAATGATTTTTTTAAAGGGTCAGTATGTGACAAATATTGTATGTTAACAAATGGACCCACAGTGTTTATGGCCCAGAATCAATAGGCAGGTGTGTTCAAGTCAGTGGCAGCTCTGCTCTGTGCTGTCATTCAGGGACCCAGGCAGACAGAGGCTGAGCCAGCTTCCACATGTGAACTCCAAGGTTTCCCTGAGTGTTGATATCTAGCAGACAGAAAGGGAAAGGGCATGGATGATCACATGCAGAAAGAGTTTTTGTTTTGCTTTGTTACATTTGGTTTGGTTTGTTTAATTTTCTTTACTAGGCTGGACTTGGAAGTGGCACACGCTGCTTTCAGCCACTGTCCATTGGCTGAAGCTGCCACATGGCCCCACTCCACTGCCAGAGGAGCTGGGAAACAATCTATCTGGGTATCACGAAGAAGAGAATGTGGACTTTGATGGGCCTCCAGCATTCTTCAGTACAATGGGATTATCATATGTTATTGCCATTAAAAGAAACAATTTTTCAAATCAAAAATAGCCAACAGCTAAATGGAGGAGGCAGGACAAGCTTAGCAAATGCCTCTGACTGTCTAGTGTTCCTGTCTCCCCTTTTGACAGGGGCTTCTGTTTCCTGATTCTGAGTCTTCTCTCACCCAGCGGGAGGGGGCAGAGCAACAGCCAGCCAGGGAGTATCGGGGGGCCTCGGCAGACAGAGAGCCTTCCTCCAACTCTGAATCTGAAGACTGTTAAATTCAATAACAAGTTTTTATTAAGTGTCTATCTCAGGCCCTAAGAGCTGGAAAGATAGCCATGAACAAAGCCAGTCTCTGCCTTCATAAAGTTGATGTTCTGGTGGGGAAGAGAGGAGTCCCCTGAAAAAAAGGAGGTTTGAAAAAACAATAGTAAGGGGATGGAACTGATCAAAGTTGGTGTTATTTGATATGGGATGGTAAGTTCTCTGATAACATTTGAGTAGACTCCTGTGTGGGGAAGGAGGGATTTAGTCATATAAATACCTCAGGAAAGAGAGTTCTGGCAGGGGGAATAGCAAGGGCAGATGCCTTGAAGCAGGAGCATGCAGGTGTGCAAGGAGCAGATGCACAGGATTAAGAGTGGGAGCAAAAGAACACTTCAGGGACTCCTGTAATCAACCAGGGGAGGGATAATGTGATGCAGATGAGTGAGGAAGCAATGGAGATAAACTATATGGAAGATTTGGAGTATGTTTTAAAGTAGTGCAGAGAAGAATTAGATATAGACTGATACAAGGACAAAGTTAGAGATAACGACTTGTTTTTTGGCTGGACCTGCTGAGCGGATCAAGGTTCTAGTTACAGGGATGGAGAAGAATGGGGAGAAGGGAGAAGTACTGGAGGAAGGAATCAGTCTCACCTCATCCACACATGTACCTGTATGTGTGATAACATCTCCAAGTTGTGTGACTATATATATGGAAAGCCAAAATGTTTTGGGTTTTTGCCTAAGAGGGAGTAAGTGTGAGTCATGTTTGCTGTGGGATGGGAGGCAAGCATCATTCCTTGGAAATGGCAGACAGCTGAGGGGTTAAAGAACTGAAGGTAAGGATTCTTTGCCTGTCAGACTTACTTTCCTTAGGGCTCAACAGCCAAAGGCATATCTTGCTTTCCTTAACTATCTATGTCCCTTTTTCTTTCCTGGCTCACATGCCCCAATAGAGTTGCTGTTCCTTGGCACAGTGTAATGTCCTATATTCTGCGGAAAAACCTCTTGGGAAAAAGAATACATGAAAGGTTAAGAGCTCATTGAAAGCATTGGTGAGAACAGTAGCAGTGACCAACCAAGACCAGCTCAGCACTTCCTTATTAGTGGCCCTTGTCCAGGGGGATGAGTGAGGTGCTAGAGGGCAGTGACAGAGAGAGGAAAATAATCTCTGGCAGCCCAGCCACATAAGGTCTTGAGGTAGGAGGACTTGGTCCAGCCTGTAGCCTTAACGAAGCTGGCATGATTTTTCCCATGAATGAAAAAAAAAAAAAACAGCAAATTCTCTCAGCTTCACTTAAAGTCTACAGAATCAAAGACAGTGAGGGTGAATCCCAGCAATCCATGTGTTAACAAGTCCTCTGGGTGATAGTGATGCATGTGAAAGTCTGGGAACTACTGTGTTAGGTCACAGTGAAGAAGGAAGAGAGAAAATTAAAGTGGAATTAAAGTACACAAATAAAATAATATAGAAATTTCTGGAGGATCAAAGCAAGATGGTGGAGTAGAAGGACGCTTGTAGCTCACCCTCTTCCACAAAGACACCAAAACTCACATCTATGGACCCACTCAGCCAACCAGAGCAGCAGCCGAACTCCGACAGAACACCGCCCTCTTTGAAAGACAAAGACACCAAAAATCTGGTAGGAGAAAAGGAAAAAAGAAAGAAAAAAAAGCAAAACAATGCAGGACCGCTCCCGCTGGGAGGGAGCGGCAAAGGAAAACTGACGCTTGTTCGCTGGGTCTCCTCTCTCCAATGGAGGGGCCAGCGGGATGGAGGGGGAGCCTCAGAGGCTCAGATCTGCCCTGAGCACCCCTTGACCAACAGAACTGAGTTAAATGGGCACAAAGGGTCCCTGTGACACCCAGCCTGAGACGTGAGCTGGCAGCTGGGGCTGGGACAGGCTGCCCAAGCCAGGCGGAGGCCCGGGGCAGCTGCACTGAGGTAGCCCCGAGGGACTGCAGGGGGCTGTGTGCCGTGGCTGGGAGGGGATACGGAACAGAACAACCTTGGTCCCCCATAAACTGTGAAAAAAGCAAAGCAACATGGCTGGTGTGCCCTGGGTGGAGGGGCACCATAGCCTTTGTCTCCTTGGAACTGCGCCGCCATTACTGGTGCATCTTGCGAGAAGAGAGGTGGGGCACAGCCATAGCTGCCATCTTCTCTGGTGCACAGCGCCTGGGCGGGGGCGGGGCTGAGAACTGAATCTGCACCCGGGGACTCCCACAACCTCCTAGGCAGGACTGAGACTTGTTTACAGCTGGAGGCAGATAGGATCTTTCTGTCCTGGCACCTCAGTGAACTCGTGCCACCAGGACAAACAAGGAGCTGAGATTTGGCACAGAGCAGGGGCAGGGCCATTTGCCCTTCTGCAGTCTTCCCCTAGACCACCTTCACAGCACAGACCAGAGGCGGAGCAGGCAGCTGCACAGAGTAGCAGGTCGACCAGCACCAGGAGAGGGCAGGCAGCCCCCCGCCTTCCTGTCAGGAATGCAGCACCTGACTACAGTGCTGGGAAGGGGCGCGATCAGCCCACCTGCCTCACCCGAGCCCAGCATCTAACTGCAGCACTGGGAGGGGGAGTGACCAGCCAGCCCACTGCGTAAGAGCTCAGCACCTGACCCAGTGTTGGGAGGGGATGCAATCTGCTAGCCAACAGCCACTGGGAGCAGCACAGACGAGGGCGCCAACAGAGGGCCTCTGGAAACAGCAAGCTGAGTTTGTGAAACAGGGCAAAGACACAAAGACCTTTTGATAAAGTCATTAAGAGCACACCATCTCTAGGAGAACTAGATAGCTGATATTCCTTAAGCCCACAGCACCAGAGATATGAGCAATATGAAGCAGAGGAACCACTCT